ACTTTAGTTATAGTAGTGGTGGTTCCCTACCCCAGAACTACTGGGTGTGGCTGACCCATTAGTTCTTCACAGAGGGGCAGTGGCCTAGGAGTGACCCCCTGAGATCCTGAGTCCTGCGGGGAAAGCTAAAAGTAAATAAATTTTAAAAATATCTAACAAAGGACTTACATCCAGAATCTACAAATAGCTTACACTCAATAATAAAAGGAAATTAATAAAAGTGAACAAAAAATTTAGGAAGTTCATCAAGGAAGAGATACTACAGATAACACACAATAGCGTATTCAGTATATGTATGGCAAGTAGGCTTACCCACCGTACTATTACTCAGGTCCACAAGTACATCTTTTCGTTGTTTTTGTTGTGGGGCCACAAGTGGTGATGCTCAGGACTTTGTCATGGCTCTGCACTCAGGAGTCACTCCTGGTGGGCTCAGAAGACCATGTGGGATACTGGGAATAGAACCTGGGTCAGCCGTGTGCAAGGCACGTGCCCTAGACACTGTACTATTGCTCCAGGCTTAGTGTCTTGAAGATTAATTTCTAGAAATAATATTATTGGATGAGAACAAATATATGCATTTGCAGTGCCTGCTTTCCCTGCCTTCCTTCCTTTCATCCTCTTTTCCTTCCCTTTTTCCTTCCTCCTCCCTCCCTGTGTGTCTGTTCTCAAAATGCAAAGCGAGTAGTCATTGCCTGACCTACATTCCTAACCCTCCTTGCGTTTATAACTTGGTAGGAATTGCTAGACTACCAACAATTGAGAAATTTCAAGAGAATAAACCTGTTTCAAAGCCCCATTAAATGTCGACTTATTGGGCTGGAGCGATAGCACAGCGGGTAGGGCGTTCGCCTTACAAGCAGCCAACATGGCCGACCCGAGTTCGATTCCTCCGCCCCTCTCGGAGAGCCCGGCAAGCTACCGAGAGTATTCGATATGCCAGACACAGTAACAACAAAGTCTCCAATGGAGACGTTACTGGGCCCGCTCGAGCAAATTGACGATCAACGGGAGGGCCTTTACCTTTACCTTTACCTTATTGGGACCAGAGAGAATTGCAGCAGATAAGGTGTTTGTAGTGCATGAACAACTAAGACAGGTTCCATCCTCCCAGCACCAGATAACGGTCCCTGAGCCCCAATAGGAAAGTCCCTGAGCTCAGAAACAGGAGTAAGCCCTGAGTACCACAACTATTTTCTCAAAATACAAATAGATAAAAGTCTGACTGTCAATGAGTTGTAGGTAAGGAAAGAGAAAGAAAACACACACACACATATGTGTGTGTATATAGTGTATGTATATATAATTATATATATATATATATACACACACACACACACACACACACACACAATCTGTCACTGTTCTCCCATTATTTATCGATTTGCTTGTGCGGGCCCAGTAATGTCTTCATTGTGATACTTGTTACTGTGTTTGGCATACCGAATACATCACGGGTAGCTTGCCAGGCTTTGCCGTGTGGGTGAGATACTCTCGGTAACTTGCCAGACTCTCCAAGAGGGGCGGAGGAGTCGAACCTGGGTCAGCCGGGCTGTGCTATGGCTCCAGCCCTATATATACAATATTTATACATATATACATATATACATATATACACATATATACTGCAGAAACTTTTCTTTTTATATTGCAGAAACTTGACTACTGCACCATTAAAAACAGAAAAGCAGTTAACCCTTAAAAAATAACTAGTAATTCAGGGGAGGAGAAGAGAGAATTTCACACAAAAAATAATCTTGAATAGATTAAACATTATAAAAAACAAATGTGGGAAGAACACACAGAATGCTTATCTTATAAAAAAAAATCTGACAGTCTTTTTTACAGCTATGTGTTTTTTGTTTTTGAGCCACACCCAGGAGTGCTCAGTGGCTTCTCCTGGCTCTGTGCTCAGAGGTCACTCCTTATAGTGCTTATAGGATCATGAAGTACAAGGTATCAAACCTGGTCCTCCAGCATGCAAACCATTTTCCCAGCCATTGAGCTATCTCTCTAGCCCTATTATAGTCTTTTCCTTACTAAAAAAGGTGACACATATTAGACTGAAAAGACGGTAGAGTGGGTGAGGTACTTGCCTTGTGTGTGGCTGGGTCAGATTGGCTTCCTAGCACACATATGGTCCTCTGAGCATCGAGCCAGGAGTACGCCCTGGGAACCAACAAATGTGACCCCCAACCCTCTTCTCCAAGTTAATACATATTGAGGAAATTTTGAATTTCTGCAAAACTAAAAGTTTACAATGAAAATTACTGATGATCATTTTCAAGTTTTTTGATTTATTTTAAACAAGAATGCCATCTGATCCTTGTGGAAGAATAGGATGGAAACAACATTGTTTCCATTATGTATATATATATATATATACATATATATAATTTCAAGTCAAAATGTGTTTATGCATGGTTTTATTGCCTATTCTGTGACCTTAGACAAGTGACATACTTTCAGATTCTATTTTTATTCTAAGATCCTATTCTCATAAGAGTTTATATTTCATTTGAAGAAGATATACAATAAAAAATAGGGAAAAATATTTTAAAAATTACTTTTAGGTAGTGGAAGATGTTTGAAAAACAATTATAAAGCAGAGTAAAAGAACAGAATTGTCTTTCCAGAACAGGTATTTGTATAGGATGTTCAGCTGAGTATATTGCTGAGTAGGTGATCTTTGAGTAGAGGATTTTCAAGGAGCAGAAGAATTATCTATTTATAAGATGTGAGGTAACAATGTTCTGCTTGGAGTTAATATCAAGAACAAATTTTTCAGCCAGAAACAGAGTTGGTTCTCAGGAGAAACCATATTTAGGGATGAGGTTAGTATAAGATCTTGGAAGATTTTATAGATAAAATGAAGAGTTTGGGCATTCTAAGTCAAACCCTTTAAAAAAATAGAATCATGTATTATTCATATTTGGATTTATGTCTAGTACCTGCCAATAATAAGTTCCTTGTAACTTGAATATATGAATGTATGATTTCATATTTAGGGAAAGATGAAAATTGGCACCATTTTCAAATTGAGTTGAGTAAAAGAGTCCTGACATAAAGAAGTTGACATTTTAGATTATTTAGAAATTTCTCATGGGATATTATGTTAAGAGAATATTATATGCATGCTGAAAGTAGACTATAGACTGAACATGATGGCCACTTAATACTTGCATTGCAAACCACAACACCCTAAAGGAGAGAGAGAGTAAAAGGGAATGCGCCTGCCACAGGGGCGGTGGTGAAGGGGGGATGGGGGAGGGTGGTGGGAGGGATACTGGGATCATTGGTGGTGGAGGGATGGGTACTTGGTCATTGTATGACTCAAATGTAAGCACGAAAGTTTGTAAGTTTGTAACTGATTCATTAAAAATAAATAAATAAATATGAGAATATCATAATATCATGGGATATTATGTTTAGTCAGAGAGAGAACAAAGGCCCAGTGATCTTACTCATCTCATAAAGTAGCACTATAGCACTGTCTTCCCGTTGTTCATCAATTTGCTCGAGCAGGCCCAGTAACATCTCCATTGTGAGACTTGCTGTTACTGTGCTTGGTATATTGAATATGTCACGGGTAGCTTGCCAGGCTTTTCCGTGTGGGCAAGATACTCTGGGTAGCTCGCCAGGCTCTCCAAGAGGGGCAGAGGAATCAAACCCAGTCAGTCGGGTCAGCCGAGTGCAAGGCAAACACCCTACCCTCTGTGCTATCACTCCAGCCCATCTCTCTTGTAAGAGAATGGGTATTATCCAATGAAAGCAAAACCCCTTTACTCTCACAGCAGTACTGAAGTTAGGGGGCTGGAGCAATAGTACAGCAGATAGGGCATTTGCCTTGCACGCGGCAGACCGGGTTCAATTCCCAGCATCCCATATGATCCCCCAAGCACTGCCAGGAGTAATTCCTGAGTATAGAGCCAGAAGTAACCCCTGAGCATCACCGGGTGTGACCCAAAAAGCAAAAATAAAAGTAACAGTACTAAAGTTAGCAAATCAGGAGATTGGGGCGGGATGGCATGGTAAGTTACACAAAGGGCGAAAGTGGGCAAGGTACTTGCTTCGCATGCATATTACCCAGGTTCAATCCCTGGCACTGTATATCACACCCTGGACCCTACTGAAGTGATCCCTGGGCACAGATGAGTAGGGCCCTCAAACCAAAAAAATAATAGTATAACATTTTAAAAAGTGACATAAGGAAAGAGATGGAGGGCTTTTGCCTTTTGGTGGTAGTGGTACAATACATTTTTGCATCAAAAGCATGAACGTTAACATTATTGTAATCATATTATCTGGATGATAAGTAAATTTAAAGGAAGTTCTTCATGGCTTTACACTTACTTGTAAACAGTGCCTGATTGTTAACAGATATACTATAGTGTTTGGTATGATTCTGGGTATATGAAAGCATTTAATGTTTCCTTATATGAAGAGTTTTATAATTGTCATAGATGTCACTTTATTTTAAAAAGTAGAATAAAGTGGGATTCACTAATAAATAAAATACATTTTAAAAAATACATGATTTAGAGGATTGGGTTTTAACTCAGTAGAGCTCTTGCGTTGTATGTGAGGTCCATGGTTCAGTCCTCTACGTTTACCCCTTCCACCCCCCTAAATTATATGTTATTTGGAGATACTTTCTAATTTTGTGTAACTTCACAATAAAAAGTTAGGTTAGGGCTGGAGCGATAGTACAGCAGGTAGGGCATTTGCCTTGCACGCGGCTGGCCCAGGTTCAATTCCCAGCATCCCATATGGTCCCCCTAGCACTTCCAGGAGTAATTCCTGAGTGCATGAGCCAGGAGTAACCCCTGTGCAACGCCGGGTATGACCCAAAATGCAAAGAAAAAAGTTAGATTAGTCATTTGGGTGGTGGGGATCAGTCACATAATGTACACTTTTTTCCCCTCTCTGCTTCATAGGCTCAAGTATACCAGGTATTTTGCTATTTAAAGCTCATTATTATTTGCTTGGTTTGGTTGTAGCCTCGAGCTGTGGCAGGCTTTCGTGGAACAGTTCGTTATGCATCAGTCAATGCCCATCGGAACAGGGTAAGTATTTGAATTAGAGTCATATCTGAATAAATGTGCTTCTAGCATGAATCTGATTTACAGTTTCATGTTAAGGGTACACAGGCATTTGAAAAGTCTTGGGAACAGAGGAGAAGGCATCAACAATACTAATTCATGATAAGGTATGTATTGGATAACAGATAATAGATGTATGTAATTGCATGAGATATAAAATTGGGAGAAAAAAATTGGAGATTTATTGACTCCTTCACTTCAGTCAACATTATTTGTGATTGTTGCCTTGAAGTCTTCATCAAAGAGTTTAAAAGCTCTGATGTGTTTCGGATTTCCAGACTTTATCTTCATTCATCAGTGCAGGTAAATTCCTCCATTTCTTCTTCATGCCTGGTGATTTGAAGGGGTTTAGAAATCTCTTTCCAATTTCAGCTTCTTGCCCTGTGGTGGATTTTCTTTGATGGGTTCCTCCTGCTCCAGTTTGTGAGCTCTCCTTCTGCACCTTCCTCATCAAGATTTCATTGCATTTATCCTGGCCTGCGTTGTTGTGAGGCGCCCTGTAGCTGAGGCCATAACCAGGATAAATATGGCCCAAGGCCTCCAAAAAATCTCCCAGTTGCAGACTGGCATGAATTTCACCAAAGACAGAGAAACTATGATAAAAACCCAAACAGATCACTGAGTTAGAGAGTACAGTAACTGAACTTGAATTTTTTTTTTAAAGACAGTATACTAAGAGGGTTTCAGTAGAAAAACAGTAGAATGTCAGAATCCAGAGACTGAATCAATAAGTTTGAGGCAAATGCAGAGGAGACCATCAAAGAACAGATACAATTTTTCATAACCTAATGAAGATAGCATAAGAAACACATAGTATAGCATCATTAGAAATTGCATTTGCACGTGGAGGTTTCCAGATGGAGAAGAAAGAGAAAAAAGATGGCATTTTTTTGTTTTTTGGGCCACACTCAGTGATTCTCAGGGCTTACCCCTGGCTTTACACTCTGGAATTACTCCTGGGATTGCTCAGGAGACCATATGGGATGCTGGGAATTGCACCGGGCTTGGTCTGGGTGCAAGGCAAGTGCCCTATCCCCTGTACTGTTTCTCTAGCCCAAGGGAGAAAATTCTTAATTGAAGAAATAGTAGCCAGTAACTTCTGAAAGGAAGCAGATAGCTACATTCAGGAAGACAGAAGAGATAGAAACCAAACCAGATAGACCCACACGAAAACACCTCAGGCATTGCTGGGGACACCCTGAGAATTGCCTGGAATTGCCTCTAGGTTCCCTGATTATCATCTTGGAGCCTGGCCCCCCAAAAGAATAAATTTTAAAATGAATGCAAGCTTAGCACTTTAGATGTAAACTTGGTAACTTCAAAGAAAAATTACTTGAAAGAAGCAAAAATGGCCAGATGGAACCTGACCACTCCACAGAAGGCAGATACAAAAGTATACAGGGAGAAGATTGGAGAAGAGGAAATTAAGACAAGTTGCTAAAACATTTAAAATCCACATGGGAAAGTAGCAGTAAATTTTATTTTTATATATCAGGTTAGCTGACGATAGCACAGCGGGTAGGGCGTCTGCCTTGCACGCAGCCAACATGGCCGACCCGAGTTCGATTCCTCCGCCCCTCTCGGAGAGCCCGGCAAGCTACCGAGAGTATTCGATATGCCAGACACAGTAACAACAAAGTCTCCAATGGAGACGTTACTGGGCCCGCTCGAGCAAATCGATGATCAACGGATGGGCCTTTACTTTACTTTTACTTTATATATCAGGAGGTAAATTTCATGGTCATCTCAGGACAAATATATTTAAAAGACACAAACGAGAAGAGACAAATGGAACCCTGATCATTACATAGCAGGAAAATACCAAAATAGAGTGGCAACAAATTAAAGGCAGCCAAAGAAGCAAAGGTATACTTCACAGACAATGAAAATCCATATAGAAAAAAAAAAGCAATAAACCCCTTTATTTTAATAATTTTACGTAACGCCAATGACCTGAACCCACCATCAAAAGGCATGAAGTGCAGAATGGTCGGATAGACCTTATACTCTTTTTGGAGATCTACTGGAATTTCAACGATATAAGCTATAAGTAAAAGTGGAAAGCCATTATACAGGTAAATGGTAGCCCAAAAGGCAGGTATGAACATTATTATATGAGGCAAAATAGGTTTTGGGGCCAGAGAGATAGCTCAGTAGGCTAGAGCACATGCTTTGTATGCAGATAGGCCCAGGTACAGTGCCTGCTTGGTCCCACAACCACCACTGGGAACACCCCAGCTATGACCAAAGAAAGAGAAACCAAACCAAAATGGATTTCAGACTCAGAAAGGTAAAGAAACTGAGCATATATATCAGCAGTAAGAGTACTAGCATTGCGTGTGTGATGCCCTGAGTTTGTTCCCTGGTAAAACACAAAGAAAAAAGGGAAGAAGAAAGAGATAGGGAGGAATTTATTGGCTAATGGATTAATATATCAAGAAGACTTAATACTTATATATGTGCAGTAAATGAAGAGGCAACAGAATATAAAAAATAACTTCAGGGGCTGGAGCAATAGCACAGCGGGTAGGGCATTTGCCTTGCACGCAACCGACCTGGGCTCCATTCCCAGCATCCCATACGGTCCCCTAAGCACCACCAGGAGTAATTCCTGAGTGCAAAGCCAGAGTAACCCCTGAATATCGCCAGGCGTGACCCAAAAAGCTAAATAAATAAATAACTTCTATTAGGCCTTAATGAGAGACCTTGACAGCAGCACCATAGTAGTAGATACTTGAATACCTCACCCTCACCATTGGGAGAGTCAGTTAGGCAAAAAATCACCAAGGAACAGCAATGAGTTGGAAGAATGGGGTTTAATAAACATTTACAATACCTTCCATAACACAAAATCCAAATACACCTTTTCTTCTAGTGCAAACAAAACATTTTTAAGGATAATCACATGCTGGAACATAGAACTAAAGTCAATTAAGTCATTTCAAAGATTGAAAACATATTTTGGAAAGAAAAGAAAGAAAAAATATATTTAAAAAAGATTAAAAACATAATGCTTTTGTTTTTAGATCACAGGATAAAACTTGCCTTGTGGAATAATGCCATTTAGAACACGTTTCTCAACTGAGGCCAAATGGTCCCTGTGGGCCCCAATGATATTTCAAGCGAGGAAAGGGTAAAAATTGCATACATTGGGGACCACAGGATAAGACTTAAGGGCCAACCGTTTGGGTGGAGAGTGAGGCACAAGAAGGGAAGAAGGTAGGGAAAAAGCTGAGAAACATTGGTTTAGAGCACCTGTCCTGCAAATGCGGTTCACAAGTTCAAAACCCTGATATCCCATATGCTCCAAACATGATACCTGGCATTTCTGTAGTCTGTGATCCCCACTGCTGCAAGCAGTTTCTGGCTGCACCACTGTGAAGGGTGTGTGTTACCTGCCCCAAAAAATTTTTAAAAGAATAAAATTAGAAATCAACCATAAAAAGAAAGCTGGGGAAAACTCAAACATCTGGAGACCAAATGACATGCTTTGAAGAACTCTTGGATCAAAAAGGAAATTAAAGAAGAAATAAAAGAATTGCTGGAAATAAATAAGCATGAAGGTAGAAGCTATTGGAACATGTGGGGCACAGCAGAAACAGGATTGACAGAAGTTCGGAGCAGTAGAGCCTTCCATCAGTAAGAAAAAACTCAAAACAATCCAAGCTTACATCTTAAGTAATAGAAAAATAGAAAAGAGCACCCACAGTCTGTAGAAAGAAAGAATTTTTTTTTAAAAAGAGCAGAATTGATAGAAACAAAAAGACCAAAAATTGTTGAAACCAAGAGTTAGTTCTTTGAAAGAATAATTGAAATTGGCAAACATTCAAATCAGTACACATGCACACAAAAGAGAGAAAACCTTAATAAGATAAATGAAAGAAAAGTTACAACAGATACTACAGAAAGACAAAGAATCCTAAGCAAATATAGTGAACAACCTGATGCCACTAAGTTGGAAAATATCAGACACTTTTTTCAGATTCATACAATCTTCCAAGACAAAAAGAGAAGAAAATGGAAAATCTGAGCAAACCATTTACAAGAAAAGAAAATTAAACAGTAACCAGGACTCTGTCCAAGAAAACAGAAGCCCAGGTCCAAATTGATATAAAGTTTTATTATACCTTCAAAAAGGTTTCTTAAAGGGGCTGGAGTGATAGTACAACAGGTAGGGCATTTGCCTTGCATGCGGACATCCATCCCCCATGCCTCTTACGGTTCTCCCAAGCACCCCCTGGCAGTTTCTGAGTGCAGAGCCAGTAGTAACCCTGAGCATTGTCAGGTGTGGCCCAAAACAACAACAAAAAGATCTATTTGTTCTTATTAAGTTCTTACAAAAGGTTGAAGAAGTAGGATATCTTCCAATTTCTATGAGGTCAACATTACCAAGATCATAAATAAACATATAACCCCCCCCCCCCAAAAAAATAGGTTGAAGACCAGTATCCCTCATGAGCATAAATAGAAACATTCTCAACTGAATCTTGTGACTGAATTAAGAAATATATTACATGAATGTACTTCATGACCCACTGGGATTTATTCCAAGGATAAAAGGATAGTTCAGCATTTAGAAATCAGTTAATATACTACACCACATCAATAAAAAGGAAAGGTAAAAATCATGTGATCACATCAATAGATGTAGAGAAAGTTTTTGACAAGATTAGACATCTTTATGATAAAATAGCTGCAAAATGATAAGAGGAACATACTTTAATATAGTAATGACTGTGTATAACAAACTCACAATTGACATTGTACTAAAAGTCAGCTACAAACAATAAACCAATAGAGCCAAAGTATTGGCTACAAAATCCCCAAGCTTTTGAGGAATGATTCCTGAGTGAAGAGCCAAAAGTAATTCCTGAGCACAGTGTGGCCCAGAGCCTCTCCCACAGCCCAAATGTCTTTGTACTTTCTGAGCTTACCTTCATACATGCTGTGTAAATTTAATCCCTACACCAAAGTAAGGGGTTGACTAGTGGTGACAGATTTTCAATACAAAGTTTTTTTAACTACTCAGTATCACTTCAGTAGTGGTTAACTCTTGAAAAATGTTATTGCCGTATTGTATATAGACCAAATATTGTGTTAATTGTAGGTATTTGAGGTGGTTATTACAGGATGGAGGTGGGGGGGATGTCACTTTTGTTTATGTATACTCAGTATTTTTATAGTTATACCTTTCCTGATGCATAATACCCTGGTTAATAAAACCCATGACAACTGCTCCCACCCCACACCCTCAAACAACCAAAGCATCAACATCAATTTCTCTTGTTTTCAGAATTCTTTTCAGTGGTGGGAGAGTAGCTGGACCACACACAGCAATTCTCAAGGGACCATGTGGTTGCCAGAAATTGGTGTTAGTTACATGTAATATAAGTGTGCTAACCCTAATATTGCCTCTCAGGCCTGCCAGAATTCATTTTATTTTGCTCTTAAAATTTCCTTTACTTCATTTTTTGAAAACATCTAAATTTTAATTTTCCATTTTAACCATTTTTAAGTACACAGTTCCGAATTGGTATGTATGTTCATATTCTACATCAAACATGTATATTTACTATATTTTTTAATAGAAGATACAGTTAAAATATTAGGCTTCCTAAGTTAAGTACAGTGGTTAATCCTTAGTGTAATACACTCAGACAAAGTGGTAATGTGTTTGGATTCTCTTTTTGCTTATGCAGGAAATGGGAAGACATGATGACCTTTGGTCCCTATTTTACATGTTGGTGGAATTTGTGGTTGGTCAGCTGCCATGGCGAAAAATTAAGGACAAGGTAATTGTTCTGTTTTGTCTGGTGATTGGGGGTGAGGGGCATACCCAGCAGTGCTCAGGACTCTGCAGTGCTGGGAAACTAAGTTAAGTGGCATGCAAGGAAGATACTTTATCTCCTATAGTATTTTTTCCAGTCCTGAGAACAGATAATTTTGGAAATGGAAGTGTAGAGGGGAAAAAAATGGCCAGGCATTTTTATTGAAAATATACTTACATGTGATATTTAAAATTTATAATCACCATCAGTATATCACAGTATTTTAATTTGTTTATTTGAGTTGGTATCATAGACCTAATGGATGATTTTTAAAAAATAATTTATTTGAAGCACTGTGGTTTACAAAGCTGTTATTTGTATCATTTCATACATAAAACTTCCAGCACCACATGCTCCACCATTATTTACCCCCCTGTTACCCAATGTGGTCAGCCTGCTACTGAAAGCCAGTTCTTAGTTTCTGTTGCCTTTGGGCATTTGTGTGTGTTTGGTTTTTGTTTGTTTGGGGGTCACACCTGGGTTACTTGAAGCAGTGCTCACAGGACCCTATAGGAATGCTGGGGAGATTGGCTGCATGTAAGGAAAACACCCTACCTGCTCTACTATCACTCCAGCCTCTAGTTCCTGTTGCATTTGGGCATTTGTTATTTCCCTACCATATCCCACATATGAAAGAGATCTGTTATGACTTTTTAGTAGATCTTGGATACTGATTTAAGTTCAGTCATTGCTTCTGATTTGATTTCTATTCCTTCCTCTTCAATTTTATTTTTTTAGTTTCTCTGTTTTATAAATCAGTTAAATTTTGAATTTGTCACTTTACATCATTTGGAAACAGTAAGCATATGTTTGTAAAGAAAAGTAGATCAGATTTAAGACCCAGCTCTCTTGTTTAGGAATCATCAGTTCACATGGCAGGATTCTTGTGTCTGCCTTAGAGGCAGGCTGGGGGTAGGGTGGGGCGGGGTGGAAGAGGGAAACCTGGGACATTGGTGGTGGGAAACATACATTGGTGAAAAAATGGGTGTTGGAATATTGTATCAGTGAAACCAAATCATGAATAACTTTATAACAGTGTATATCACTGTCATCTGTCATTCTATTTTTTTTTAAAAAAAGAGGTACAGTAGCATTGGGGGTGGGGGGGAGAAGACCCACCCATCTTCTAAAAAGTATGCAATAAACTATTGTAAATCTCAGTTATTGCTTTATTCTCATTATCTAGTCAGTGTTGAGATTGTTACTAAAATTTTATTAAGACACTGTATTACAAAATTATTCATGATTGGGTTTCAGGAAAACAATGTTGCACATATGCACACATACCCTACTCCTCCCCCACTTCTCTCCCACCCACCTGCCTACCTCTATGAGAGACTAGAGATACTTTATATATATATATATAAAACTTTTTTTTTATGTAGGAGTACTGCTATTTATTCAGCCACTGATTGAATTGGGCATGAACTCCACCTTACTTTTTTTCATTTTTTATAATTTTATTTATTGAATCACCGTGAGAGCAGTTACAAAGCTTTCAGGTTTAAGTCTCGATCATACAATGAAACACCCATACCTTCACCAGTGCCCATTCTCCACCACCAAAAAACCCAATATACCCCCAGCCCACACCCTCCCCCTACCTAAGGGGCAGATGATTTCTACATTACTCTCTCTCTACTTTGATTACATTCAGTATTTTGACACCACACCCACCATTATTATTTGGGATTTTACCCCAACACTCAGATCTACTGAAAAGGCAACAGTAGACAATTTGTTGTCTATTGCTGGTTATGAATAGCATATGATGTCGCATGGCTGCAGTAGTAGCTACGTGATTTTGAAGTTCCGAAATTTTAACAATTAAATCTGGAGGAATTTCTGCCAAAACCTTCTGGGTTCCGAGATTTGTTCCTGAGTCTCTTTGATCATGGCCTTTAAGCACCTTGTTTAGGAGCCAGAAAGGCCGTTAGTGGGCCGCGACTCAGGGTCTCATTGGGACGAAGAGGAAAGGGCTGGCTCCACCCCCATCCCATGAGGCCCTGCATGTCTCATCACTGAGGGCCCAAACCTGACTGTCCAGTGGCCTTTGGAGGATGGTGGCCACTAAGCTGCCTAGGGGGAGCAGGTGGAGGGACAGCACCCTTCCCCCCCTGGAATGGCCCAGTGATGGTATCCTACTGCGGGGTCCGGACGCATTTCTGTCAAAAGCCACTGGGTTCCGAGATTTGTTTCTGAGTCTCTGAGATCATGACCGTTAAGCAGCTTGATCAGGAGCCAGGAGGCCATTCGTGGGTAGTGACTCGGGGTCTTGTTAGGGTGGGGAGGAAAGGGCCGTCTCCACTCCATCCCGTGAGGCCCCAGGTATCTCGTCACTGCGGGCCCAAACCTGCCTGTCTAATGACCTCTGGTGGATGGTGGCCACCGAGCCAACAAGGGGAAGCAGGTGGAATGAGAGCACCCTTTTGCCCCTGGGGTGGCCTGGCAACAGTAACCTACTGCGCAGTCCAGATGCATTTCTGCCAAGGGCCGCTGGGTTTCAAGATTTGTTTCTGAGTCTCTGGGATGATGGCCATTAAGCAGCTTGATCAGGAGCCAGAGAGGCTGTTCGTGGGCGATGACTCAGAGTCATGTTGGGAAAGGGAGGAAAGGGCTGGCTCCACCCCCATCCCATGAGGCCCCACGTGTCTCATCCTTGTGGACCCAAACCTGACTGTCCATTGGCCTCTGGAGGATGGTGGCCACCAGGCCACCAGGGGGAACAGGCCAAGGCACGAAACCTGAAATTCCCACCTGGGGTGGTCCAGTGCCTGTAACTTACTGTAGGGACTGGACGCATTTCTGCCAAAAGCAGTTGGGTTTCGAGATTTGTTTCTGAGTCTCTGGGATCATGGCCATTAAGCAGTTCGATCAGGAACCAGAGAGGCCATGCCTCCAGTTATATAGCTGAGCTGGAGGTAGTTTGTGGGTGTATCTCCCACATACCTAACTTTTGGCCATTTACTTTCTTGGTAAACTTTGCTTCAAGTTTTTGGGGTCTGACCAAAGGCACAGCAGCAATTTTGGGGTATCTGGAAGTCTGAAGGCGCCATCACGCTGCTGATTCACTCGCCTCACAGGTACAGACTGACCTGCTGGGGGCACTATACACACACACACACACACACACACACACACACATATATATATATATATATAACTTTATATATATATATAACTTTCAACACTGGTTTACAGTGCTACTGCATGCATAATACAACACCTTTCTACCTTTCAGCCCCCTTTCTTCCTTCTTGTTGTTCCCTTCCTTCCACCACAATTATTTTATTCCCTTTCCTGTTCTGTCTTCCCAACCCCACAAGTGGGGTGCTTCCTATGAAGAACAGTTCTTATGTTCTTTGTTTCTAAGAGGCTCTTATTGTTTAGCTGCCAAGAGAAAATTGACTTTGGCTTCTTACCTTTTACTTCCCAGGAGCAAGTAGGCTCTATTAAGGAGAGGTATGACCATAGGCTAATGTTGAAACATCTCCCTCCGGAATTCAGCACCTTTCTGGACCACATCTCCTCCCTGGATTATTTTACAAAACCAGACTATCAGGTAATCATCTTTGTGAGTTCTGTGGGTTAATTCTCTTACATAAAGTCTATATTGTGTTTGTTCATTGTAACTTTGATTGTGTTTTACTTTGGGAAGTTCCTAGAATAATACTATGTTGGTGCATCTCAGAAATGTGGTGAAATTAAACAATGATGACATTTGTCAGTGTGCATGTATTTTCTCCTTCTGGGTGAACATACTTCAATATTAGGTTTATTCATCATGTAATAGATACTGCCATCCTTGGGAGATTCATTTGGCATAGGGACCATTTACAGTTATTTAAGTCCTATAACTAATTTGTTGACTAGAAGGAAATGTCCAATTAGATAATGTATCTGTCAAGGGCGATGTATCATATGTTGTTATGGGATGTCAGTGAAGGTAATTTGGCTCCATTATGTCTGTGTTTTGTGAATCATTTCCTTAGAGTGTTGGTTCAAGAGATCTTTTAATAATTGAGTTCACCATGAATTGCATCCCTAACTTCAGTTTCTATTGCTGTTAGGGAGAACTTGGTAAGACCTTTTTGTCAGATAACTTCTGCCCACTGAAAGCATAAATAAAACAACACAATGATTAAAAGTATATTGATACATTATGTTTATCCGCAAAGAACAGCACATATTTACTTCCTTTTAAGAAAAGCTATGCTTGCTAAAGTATGTCAGTGTTGCTCACTTTGCTGTACACATAATTAACTTACTTGTGTATGATAATTATTTCTCTGTGAGGTTGCAGCTCTTGTATAAGATGGAAACAGATAGAAAATAGAGAGGGCATACCTCTCTTTATCGACCTTGGTAGAAGTTTGTTTTACCTCTGTGGCTGATTATTATAAACTATATTGCCTATATAATAAATGGAGAAAATATTCTCTTAGCCATATGTTTGTAGTAAAAAAAAACTTACTTGCCAACTAAAGTTTGAAACTTAAGCCTAAAATTGATTTGCAAATTGTTGATATAAGAGTTTTCATCTGGTCATATTTTTAATTTCTGTTAGCTAATAATGTAATTTGAGGGCCTAGGAGAAAGCGTCGTGAGTGGAAGGAGCACATGTCATGAATGTGTGGGACTCTGCATTTGATCCTCAGCACCACACCACAACAGTAGATGTTGTGATTTTTCTATTTGCAGAAGAAATACATTTTTTTGTTTCACATATTGTTTAAATATGTTGGTATTTGCTCTTTGATCTTTCGTTTCATAAGCTGTGAGTCGTTACAGGGGGCAAATGGATGAGAGATGTAAAATTGGGAAAAAGAAGTTGGTATAAGTGACTGTTTTGTTTTGGTAAATACTAATATATATGACATCAAGTTTGCAGCTTTCATCTCTTACTTTCAGAGCCCTTCTCTAATCTCCATTTTGAGAAAAATTGCACTACTTTGAATCTAATGCTCTTGTTAATTTATAGTTTGGTATTATGGTGAATTTTATAGTTTGGAATTTATACCAATTTGAGTTTAATTTTTTTCTTTCAGAATTTAAAATTTTTCACTAGGCAGCCATTATAGTTATAAACAACAGGCTTTCCCCAACAACAGCCATACTAGCCTTTAGTGTTCTTGTTCCCCTAAGCTACAGCAAAGGTCAAATAAAATATATACATAACTTTATTCTCAGCCAAGACCACCATGAATGTATTTTATGGTCAAAGTGTAAAATGGTGTACTTTCACCTTGAACGTCTATATTTTGTAAAGCTTTAAAAGTAATTTCTTGCCACAGATTATCTTAAACTGAAAGTTACACGTAGCCAGGCATAGCCAGCACATGATGTAATATTCTGCTACTCACTCTTGACAGCAGGAAGAGACTGAGAAAATACCTGTTTTGCTCACTACCAGTAATCATTTCTACATGTCTCAATTAGAATTAAGATTGACATTTGCTTTTGGAAAGTGTTATAGGGGCTAGCTGGCGAGATAGTACAGTGGGTTAGATGCTTGTCTTGCACACAGTGGCCCAAGTTCAAACCCAACACCCCATAAGGTTCCCATGCCCACCAAAAGTAATCCCTGAGTGCACAGGAGTAAGCCCTGAGCATTTCTGGGTATGGCCCCCACAGAAAAACAAACTAGAAAGTGTGCAGTAATTTTGAAAATTATATCCAACTCTATAATTACTTAGTATGTATATTTAACTTTATATTCCTAATTGTCCTTTTAAGTCCTATAGGTATCATGATATCTTCCCCCCACCCCCACAATATCCTGATACCCTGATACCTAAAATTTCAACTAGTGTTAAATTGAATTCAATCCTAGTTGTCCTAATAGTCTTTTATTAAGGATGTATAAGAAAAAAATCTGGGGGTTGTAGTCAGTACAGTGGCCTTGCACACAGCTATTTGTATAACCTGGGTTTGTTTCCTGGCAGCCCATATGGTCCCCCAAACCCACCAGAAGTGATCTCTGAGTGGTCCTCAGAAGTAAGCCCTGAGCAATGCTGGGAGTAGCCCAAAAACAAAATAAGAAAATACAATAGACTTGACTCTTAACTCCAGAAAGCCTAGAGCTGCTTTAGGATTCCTAGACTCTCATAACAGGAGTTAAACTTTTCAGAATTGTTAGGTAGGTTAGGTAGGTTGCTTGTGAAGCAAAAAAATGGAATAAGAAAGAGCCCATAAGATAACAAGTCAGAAAAGGCTTTCTCTGAAGCTGCATTTTAGCCAAGCCCAAAGCTTGTCATGTCACATGAAAAGCAAAAATAATAGGAAGTTATAAGTGGAAAAACACGCATATGGATTTTTTTTTCTTTTTTTAGCTTTTTTGGTCACACCCAGCAATGCACAAGGATTACTCCTGGCTTTGCACTCAGGAATTACTCCTGACAGTGCTCAGGGGACCATATGGGTTGCTGGGGATTGAACCAGGGTCAGCCACGTGCGAGGCAAACGCCCTGCCCACTGTACTGTCACTCCAGCCCCTGTATATGGATTCTTAACCAAAAAAAAAAATTAATAACATAAAGAAGACACATGGGGCCAGAACATGTAAATGACAGGAGAGAATAGTTTGAAACGAAATTGGAAACTCAGAAACCAACTAATGCAAGTCCTTTCACACCTTGTTAGGTGTTTTAAATTTATTCTAAGAGCATCATGATGCCTTGGAAATCTAATAAACGAGCATGGTGATCCACTTTGTATTTTAAGAGAATTAGTGTTGCAGCTAATATGCATTCAAATGAGGCAAAGTAGAATTAGAGGATGCTTACAGTACTAGGCTTGGATATGCCATAGAAACACACACACACACACACACACACAATATATATATACACATATGTACATATATACATTTAATCAATGAATTAGCAGCACAGAGATTTGTTTTTTAATAATATTACAGTGTAAGGGGCTGGAGTGATAGCACAGCGGGTAGGGCAGGTAGGGCGTTTGCCTTGCACACGGCCTGACCTGGGTTCAATCCCCAGCATCCCATATGGTCCCCTGAGCACCACCAGGAGTTATTCCTGAGTGCATGGACCAGAAGTAACCCCTGCGCATCGCTGGGTGTGACCCAAAAAGCAAAAAAATCATAATAATATTACAGTGTAAGTTAAGTTGGGTTGCTATTCTAGGCGACCCTTTCTGATAACTTTGTATGTCTAAATTCCACCCTTTTTTGACAACTTTTTAATACACAGCTTTTACAGTCACCAGGAAGAGAATGAGCAAAGGGAATGTGAAGGTTGCTTAGAAGTTCTATTGTTTTTGCTTTGGGGCCATGTCTGGTGGTGCACACAGCTTACTCCTAGTACTCAGGAGCAGTCCTGACAGTGCTTAAGGGACCATATGGGATGTGGGTATCAAACTCAAGTCAGCTGAATGCAAGGCAAATGCCTTACTGGTCATAGTATCTTTTTGACCCTAGATTCAATCCCTGGTACCAAATAGTTTCCTCAGTACCACCGGGAATGACCTTAAACACTGAACCAGGAGTAGCCCATGAGCACTGCTGGGTATAGTAAAAACAAAACAATTTGTGTGTGTGTGTGTGTGTGTGTGTGTGTGTGTGTGTGTGTGTGTGTACTGTAAACTCTTAAATGCAGATAGTTTTCTTCATTTACAGTATTCAGAAGAAATATATGTCTATTCTGATGGTGCAGGAAAAAATAGTTATATTTAGGAAAGACAGTGTTAGTCTGTGTGAATAATATAAGAGGCTTTCAAAGATCATTTCAACTCTGCTATTTTTGTCCGGCATGCTAACTCTTCTATGGTGTGAATATACCGCAGCAGTTTCATTTGGTGCTTTGTTCGTATGACCTTTCTAAACCTGTCTTCTTTTCTGTGAAATGATAAAATATGCCTATCCCACAGTGTTAATATCTTAATGAGATAATTATGAGAAGTTTTTGTAAATTGTAACTGTATTTTTTACATGTAGCTCGGTGGCACTGCACTTTCTTCTAATCTCACGTTTGTATTCTGTTTAATAGTACTACACTTATTAATTTTTATTTTAATGAATTTGTCCTTTGTAATAACAGATTCAGAATTTTTGTGGATTCTGAACACCATATAGAATGGGAACTCTTGTGCAGTGTCAGTGGAGTTGGCAAGAAGTGTCACTAGTAGTGTCTAGAATTGTATGATGGTTGACATTGCTCATCTTCAGAGGAGTCCAGTGCAGGTGACTCTTTGGGTGCAACACAGGGGAATGTTGCTTCCATGTTCGTAGAACTTTTCTTTTATGTTCCTTTGTCCTCTTTATGCGGAAAGGACATTTGCTTTCCTTTTTTCTCTCTTTGCTTTCTTTTTATTTTGGGGGTGATACTATGTGCCCTCCCCCCGCCTGCCCCCCCCCCCCGCAACCCCCCCCCATGGATTGAACCCATATCTTTCGTATGCAAAGCATGCATTCCAGCCTGTTGAGCACTCTTTCACCTCTTTCCTTTTTCACTTGATTCACTGGGAAGCAAGGAGATGGAACCAAGTGCCACTTTACCTTGTGGACTGAGTGTCTGAAAAGAAAGTATTGGCATTTAA